GAAAAAAACATTTATATGCTTACCTATTTTCAGCCTTGTGTGGTCACGTGATCTGGCTTCCCTGCATCAGCTGCTGGCTACAGGGGAGAGGAGGGAGTCCCAGCAACAGCTGGGACATGGGAGCCTATGGCTGACTTTACTGCTCTCAGGCATTCCCAGTCAAATGTTGATGGAGTAATCCCACCCTCCCACAGCTTTGTGGTGTTCTGCTGGTAAGGAGCCTCCCTGCCGGCAGAACACAATGATTAATGCCACCTGGTATAGCTGGCAACACTAATCGTTTGGGGGAAGAAAAACTGACGGGCTAGTTGATCTATTGATTCTATTCTATTGCAACCAGGATGCCCATACATGGATCGAAATTTGCTGAGTCCCTGTTGAACTGGCGGAAAAAAAATTTGATCTATGTGTGGCCAGCATTATTGGAGTCTCCTGATTTTTTTTTTCTTTCAAATTCTAATAAAAAAATTGGCCAAAAGTGATTTTAAAAAGTGCATTATTGTTTCTGGAGCCTACTACAAACAACAAATATTAAAAGAACTGTGGGATAGGCAAGAAAAATCACCCATTAGTATGCCTCCTTACACTGAACCGTTAATAAATTTGTGAAATTCCTTACCATTGAAGAGAAAAGTCTAATTGAATTTTCAAGAAGTCATCTCTGTATTTCAAAAGATGATAGCATCTGCTCTGCCAAGGAGGAGGTGTAACATCTGGGATTACATCGTATCCTCTCCTCTCAGGAAACTACACTTCCCATCAACCATTAGGAATATTAGTGAGTGTGGGTGGCTACACTAGGCCTGTACATGTTGAATGTGTACTCGCCCTCTTCAATGGAAAACAAGCCCACAAATTCCCTAGCTGCCACTGCTATCCTCACATGTTATCACTCATCCTCCAGTCACAATAGACTAGAAACGCATTGGCCTGACATTGTTTTTAATCCCAGAATAAGTATGACCACATGCCCATAATTAAATTGTTGTGTTAATCTACTGTTGTCTGGTGGAATTAAATATTAGAATTCTTCTTCCTATTTTTCTAACAGCCACCGCTGCTTTTATGATTCCATATGATCACATCCCCGGCCACAACAGAACAGAAACAAAGCAGCGGGACATAAGGCTCCATTCACACTAGGGTGTTTCAAATTGCGGTTGTCATTTCCACGATTCTGCCCACGATTTGAAAACTCACTGTGAAAACGCGCAATTGCATGTTCAGGTGCCATTCATTTTAATGACACCTGAAAATGTGGGGTGTTTTTCTGCGCAACAAATGCATTTTACAGTGATTTTAGAAATGCACATAGAAAAATGCAAAACGGTCAAAACGCAAACTGCATTGGTTTTTGCATTTTTCTGAACCAGGCCTGAAATGCATTGAAAACACTGCAAAAACTAATTAAAATAACACACGTTATGTTTTTGATGTGTTTTTGCTCTTTTAAACTGCCCAGCAACAAGTTGGCCCCCCCAAAAAAATGCAAAAGCATCAAGCGTGAATGCAAAACGGACAAAACACAAATTGCATTGGTGTGAACCAGGCCTGAAATGCATTGAAAATGCAGCAAAAACACAAGTGTTACGTTTTTGTTGTGTTTTGCATTTTTAATCTGCCCAGCAACCAGTTGGCCAAAAAAATAAAAAAGCATCAAAAACGCACATGCAAAATGGACAAAACGCAAACTACATTGGTGTGAGCCGGGCCTGAAATGCATTGAAAATGCATCAAAAACACGTGCTGCACTTTTGATGCCTTTGAGTCACACGACCTATGAGAAACGCAACCTAAACGTGATAAAATCGTGGCAAAATTCCAGATAAAATTGTGACAATCAGGGGTAAAAAAAAAAAAACGCTTCAAAATTGCGGGTAAATCATGGGTAAAATCACATATTTGGTGGCCATTATCAGTACCCCCCCCCCAATCAGCAAAATGGTGAAAACACTATTTTTGACTGCTGATATATAGGTGAATCCCTAGTATGTAAAGTATATATATTACTAGTGGAGGAAGTGCAGAGACTCCTAGCTGAAGCTATGGAAGGTGGGACAGACCCAGAGTGCCCTGAGCTGTCATTCTTGAAACACTCCTGGGTGGGAGGTACAGACCAGGAGTCTTGACTCCTCCCACTACAGTGAGCTGGGAGGAAGTACATCGCCACTTCCTGTAGAAAGAACTACAGAGGGGATGTGCCAAGACCAGGTTTCGGGGGAATAGGAGGAATAGCAGCCACTGGTCCTACAAACTGGAAACCACAGGGGATTAACGGTTTTATTTGAAAATCATCAACTTATTTCAGAGCAACTACTGAATGGACAAGAAGATGGAGGACCTATTCAATGAAGGTGGATCAGAAGCAAGGACATGGGGGGGGGGGGGGGGGGGGGGGGGGGGGGGGGGGGGGGGGGGGGGGAAAGTTTGTATCTGGTGTTCTGCTTTAACTATACATTTCTTGGTAGTACCATGACCCACTGCTGAAAAATCTCCAAAATTAAATTCTCCTAGTATATGTATACTTATAGTAAGGTCCTGTAACAATTGTGCACATTTTTCCACCCTTTTTGTCGGTTTTTTTTTTTTCTTTCCCAAAATGATCCTGACACTAAATATAACCCCTCTACCTCCAAGGGGCTAACATATGGTAGAGAAAGCTAGGTAGGATTTTTAAACAAGTAAAAAGGTAAGTAGCATATCTTATAAATGTTTTCAAAGATTGCTATGTGAATAGGAACACACAACAAATAAAGTAGATGTTACAGCAGTCTGGCTGCAAAAGTGGAAATGCACTTTAAGGATGACTTCAGGCTTCAGCCTCTTACTGTGCTGATAGAGTTAAAGGGAAGATGTGTGTGTGTGTGTGTGTGTTGTGTTTTTTTTTTTTTTTTTTTTTTATTATTATTATTATTATATATGTCATGGAAGCAATAGTCTGGCACAGTTCCGCCCTCAGACACTCTTGGTAAATATAACCAACTGTTCCTGCAGGGTATCTGATTTCACTCTATGGCCAAGTGTATTGTCATCATCTAAAATGTGACTCCAACTAGAACTAATTCTTTTTAGTGTTGTGTAGAATGGGAAGGATTTTTTGTTGAGGAAATTCCCCGTCATGTCTCATACAGGGTGCGCGTGATGCAAACCATGCATAACAAACAGGGTTTACACATTTCCTGATAGACAGCCATGGACTATGCCTGCATAATGTGTGCTCAAATGGACACTGGGGGGTTTATTTACTACAGCTGGAGAGTGCAAAATCACGCTCACTTCTGAATAGAAACAAATCCGATTCTAACCTCAGCTTGTTCAAATCCGATTCTAACCTCAGCTTGTTCAAATCCGATTCTAACCTCAGCTTGTTCAGTTAATTATTGAAGTGATACTAAACCTCGGACCCTGCATTTACTATATATACGGTCTCCTACAGTACACAGAACATGGAAATGCAATTATTTTAGTAAATATAAACTGCTAAATACCTTTCTCATCAGCAGTATATAGCAGTCTTGTGACTTCTATCAGTGTCCAGCTGAGCACTGGTTAACGCTTATAGGGACTTTTCATTCTCATCGGACTGTCCTATGAGGCCGCATAACCCCTGACATAAGGAACTTCACTCTCTCAATCAACATGGGCTATTTCTAATCCTTAGCTACATGCTACTCGCATTAGTAAATAGATAGGAAAGTATATCATTTACTTTTTTAACTTTTTTTTTTTTTTAATTCCTTAATTTACTTCTTGGTTTCCATGCCTAGGCAAATGTCACATCCCAGAAGTCTTCAGGAGTGGAGGGAAGGTTCTCTACTCAGCTAATGTCTGAGCTAAGGGAAGATGGATTCCAGGAAGTAACCGCCACATGAATTATCTGCCCTTACACAAGATGGCCACGGCCAGAAATGCCAGGGGGGTGTTTTGTTTTTTTTTTCAAAATGTTTTTTACACAAAATAAAGCATGGAGACATGGATTGATGGGGGAGTTTGTTTTGAATATTAAATATTTAATTTTTATATCATTTTTGTGGTACTCAATGTGAATGCAGTGCAGTTTCACTTTTAAGCTGATCTTTCACACATCAGTTGTAATGGTATAAATCAGCCTTTTTCAACCAGGGTGCCTTGAACTTTCTCCAGGGGTGCCTTGGCAAAATGCCTAAACATTGCCCAAAAATTGTGTATACAAGCCAGCAGGATCAAGCCTGCCTTTTAGATACACAAAGCCACAGGTTTTCATTGTGCACCATTACAACCTTCTATCCGCTGGCATCTTAACAACCAATAAACACCTTCAGTTGATATGGAGGATGTTGGTCACCTGCACGGCATCCTTGTTTGACTCTCCCCTGCCCCTCTCTGTCATTAATGGGGTCAAATTAACTGAGTGATAGAGAGAAACTGAGAGCGAAGAGAAACATTGGGATACCATTCAGTATTCAGAATACTTTGTTACATTTTATTATTCTTCTTATTATTATACAGGATTTATATAGCGCCAACAGTTTGCTCAGCGCTTTACAATATAAGGGAGACAGTACAATTACAATACATTTCAGTACAGAAGGAATAGGAGGGCCCTGCTCGTGGAGCTTACAATCTAAAGGAAGGGGGAGGTGATACAAAAGGTGATAACTGCGGGGGATCATCTGGCGGAGGTGATTAAAATTATGGACATTCAAGGCACCTCATTACTTGAAAGGGTGACTCAAGATTGTTGATTATTTTAAAGGGTGCTTTGACTGAAAAAATGTTTGAGAAACACTGGTCTAAATGACAGATTCTGATTTGGCTTGGTCATGGTGTCCGTGTTGGATTTCCAAAAAATATTTGACTTGTGTCTAGGGGTTATTTCCACAAATAGATTATTATTGTGAATATAGTTTACTCCTTGCTACAAGGTAAAGTCTTTTGTTAATATTAAAGCTTTTTTTTTTTTTTTTATGATCTGGTCATATCGCACTCAGATTTTGAGACCAAATCTTTTTCCTTTGCAGACGGTGGACATCCACAAAGAGAAGGTGGCTCGCAGAGAGATTGGTATCCTAACAACCAACAAGAACACGGCAAGGAGTCATAAAATTATAGCTCCAGCCAACATTGAGCGTCCCGTCAGGTACATACGAAAACCCATAGACTACATGGTGCTGGATGATGTAGGCCATGGAGTGAAGGTAAGAGGACCGATTCTGCTATGACATTATTTGGCATAATTTGCTTCCTTCCTTTACACGTGCAGAAGAAAGGAACTGAAAAACATACATTTCCTACAGTTCCTGTTAAGTAAACTCACAATCATGATGCAAAAGAATGTTGATATTTCTTTAAGCTATTAGGTAAAACACAATGGGGCTCATTTATAACAAATTTAATTTTTTGGTGTGAATCCTATTGTGTCGTCTCCCTCCCTGTTAATCCTGTTTTGACAAGTTAAAACTGACCCCAGAAATTGAACTGCTCCTGTAAAGGATGATTTCATTTCCGTCATGTTTCTGTACCAGATTTTGCCTGCAGGTGCAGTTTCTCAGTTCTATGTATCTGTAATATGAGAAATCAGGGCATGTAGGAGTAGAAGACACCTTTTTCTTTACCTAGGATGCTCAACAGAGGGGAAAAAATAAAATATATATATACATATACATTTTTAACTCCACTTTAATGGCCATGGTTTTGCAGTGTGATGTTCAATAAGCCCATATAAGTGTAATGGTGTCGCCAAACTTTGGCCGTATAGTAAATGTCATACTTGACAACACTAGAAAAGTAAAAGTGAGCTAAACATGCCTAAGTGATGCACTGACTAGGTGGCCTTCATCTCCCATCAGTCATCTTTTTTTCTTAAGTTGTCCATACAATAGGCCACCTGTTGACCTTGTTGGTGGCACTTCATTTACAGTAGTTTGGAAATGGAGGAATCTTGAGTTGTTTGGTGGTCAGGGGTGACACTGATTTGAGAGCTATGGCCAAATAGCCTTTCTCTTAGGAAATATTTATTGCTTTACTATTCTCATCTCTTGACATGTTTGAGCACAGCTATTCCTTTTTTTTTTTTTTGTCTTTTTTTTTTTCCCTCATTGGTCCAGCTTAGACCAATGTAAATATGCGTATTCCATTTCTGATGATTTCTATGGAAGCAGAGAATCCCTGTAATATCTGCCACTTAAGTGTCTGTCTTCTGGATCCTGTATTGATTGGCTGCCCTGCTTCATAGTAACCACAGAGAGTTGCTCTCTCAGCATGGGCGACATTCAGGGAACGCCTTGTATATTCTCAATATTAATACAAGGTATTCTCTGGTTTGGATGAGGTTCAGGTTATGCCGTCGCCACCCTGCCTCTTCACCTTGTTCAATCAGAGAATAAATCTCTCAGTGAATGCAAATCATTCTCTGATTGGACAGGGTGGGGTGGCGATGGCACAATCTCCACCTCTTCCAATCAGAGAATGCCTTGTATTCATTGCGAAAAATACAAATGACTCTCATGTTGAGGGGGCGACCCCCTGTGGTTATTGCAGCAAGGCAGCCAATTGCCACGGGATCTAGAAGACCGTGAGGATCATTTTAGTGGCGGTGTACGTTTTTTGCAAAACTACTGTATTTTAATCTACCTAATTTTTACCTTTTTAGTGCTACTCAGGGCTGTAAAAATGAATCATTTGTGAGATTTTTGGTTGCACCTTCACCTTTAACAAGTGAACTTTGACTTTTTAAAGGAAATAAAGGTTTTGTCCTTTTGAAAGCCAATATCATTCATTTTTTTTTTTGTAGTGCATGGTAGAAAATCGTATTTGATTGGCTGGTTTCTAGCGGTTAAACCTATTGCTTTTTCTTATTCTTTTTACTAGACTGTGTAAATGAGCCCCATTGTCCTATAAGCCGAGAATAGCAAAGTGTCTGCAGCTTGGATTTAGTTGCAGAGAGCGGATCTGGGATTCAGGCGCACAATCCAGGCCTCACCGTACTAATGAGATTAGACTTAATAGGGTCCATGGCTTATATTCTTTCCAGACTTCCATTATTCTCTATATTGATAGACCACCTCCTAATGTACTATATTGGTGATTTGTGTTTACTGTATTTGAAATATCTTGTTTATTTAATTTGGTTATTAAATGTCGAAGCGATCAAGCTCTGTATGCAGCCTCCTTTAATTGTAATCTAATAGAAATTGAATTTTTCTTCACCAAAAGCATGAAGTCATAATGTTCCCATGCACTCCTTGTCTCTGGGGGGGGGGGGGGGAAGACATTGAAGCAGTCTGTGCTAATTCTCTTAGAAACAAAAAGCAGTTTTGTTTTAATTGTAGAAGCTAGAATGCAATCTGCAGAAAGATAGTTACACTTGCATGGACTTGTAGAGAGACTCGCAGATCAGTGCATGGCATGGATACCTGCATGGCCACAGTAAGACAGCTACTGGAACATGTGTGCTTTATACGTGTATCCATGGCATACTGTCAACTTTTTTTAAAATCCAAATATTTAGATGCTCAAGAAAAGGGCATTACAAAAATTAAATTTGAATTGGAATGTCAACCATTTAAGTGTTGGATATCATACAGAGGTTTAGCACCTGTCAGGTTTTCTTTTTGCCTGCATCCCTGAAAGGATAGTTTCTAATTACTTGCTGTCCTGTTAGCACATCAGGCTGTAAAGCGAAAAAAAAAAACAAATATACAGACAGCATAGGTTCTAAAGCAAGCATACTTTATATAATCTTCTTTCCTTCCACCATGGGTGGAAGGAAAGGAAATTCCATGATTTTTCCCCCCCATAAAAAAAGAAAAAAAATTGCTTGATTCCACCAACACCACAGTCAGTGTTGATGGGGAATCCCTCCGCAGTGCCATTGTGTTCTGTGGGGAGCTTCCGGCAGTGATTGCATGCAAAAAATCCAACAGGCTGGTTGTACTGAGGTCGATCGATGGCTCAAATCAGTACAACCAGCCTGTCCATTGATCGCCTTTCTGCCAAGTCAGCAGGGTTCAATCCATCTATAGTTGGCTTAACTCTTCCTTGCTCTTGCTTTGGTGGAGTAAATATATATAGATTTTGTGAGCTGTGTTGTACTTTGGGGTCACTTCAGCTGCTGACCCCACTTTCATATCTTGGCTATTATGCAGATTTGTCCTTGATTCACATACTCTCCTACTCAGCAGACCCAGTATTCTGCTGTGATCTGCTTGCTCGGGTGTCACAGCGCAAGACTCACACCACCATCTTGGCCCTTCTCTGTCATTGTGAGTCCTTTTGCCTCTTCCAGGTTTAGGGAGCTGACAACAATGCTCTGCCCATCGACCATATTGCTGCCGCCTCTTGGGATAAGTGACAGGGTGATCCCAGGAGGCTGCGGGAGCGGAGACCTGTCATTGTTGCTTAAAAGAGAATGGCAGTGGTGAATGCGGGAGGGGGGAGGAATTTTGATCAGTATGTCCCTCCTCAAGCAAAAAATAGCTTCTATTCTAGCCTTGTTTGTGGAAGGAGGAATCGGAGTCTTTTTTTTTTTTTTTTTTTTTTTCCTTCCTCCCCCCCCCCTTCGTTAGTTCAGTCTACCTAAAGACTAAGTGCATCCTTTTAGGAAAGTAATAAATGCACATATTTTTGCAGGAGAAAAATGTGCATTTTATTATGTTTTCCCCACAGATGCCTGCAAATCATTGTCAAGCTCCTGCAGACACCTCCTGTACGGGCTTTCAGTTTGCTGAAAAAAGCGTCAAAGGACTATGGCCTGTTTCACACGGGCTTCAGCTTGTATAAGAGCAGTGTGAACTGCTAGCATTGACATAGCATTTCCAGAAATTTCAGCAAGCGTTCTGGAAGCTTCTAAAGTACCGTTCAGCTCTGGTTTGTAAATGCTGTCTAATGAAAGTGTTGATTGTCACATTAAACAAGCTGCTAGCAAACTTTAGCAGGCTTTCAACAAACTTCAGGAAGTGCTGAAGCCTGCTAGCAGCTTGATTAAAGTGGCAATCAACACTTCCATTAGGATCTGTGTTCAACATTTACAAACTGGAGCTGAATGTTACAGCTGTTCATTTTCAGTGGCACCATGATGCGCATGCATAAGCACCTGGTACTTCTCCATCTGTTAGACTTGTAATACACGTGTAGCCTTGTGGTGCCCTGGAAAAAATAAAAAGTTAATTTTTTGTTGGCCACTGGAAACACAAGGGCAACGAAAAGAAAAATCATACCCAAGTATTAAAGGGGCTTATAATGATGAATTGTAAACAGTAGTAACCCATGACAACCAGAATTTACATTATTGAAGGTAGAATGGTGTACAGTGCATTTGTTTGGTTGCTATGGGTACCACGCTTGATATTTGGCACCCACTGAACATAATTTCTCTTTAATTGTAGAAGCTCTTTGTCCTTTCTGTAATGAGGAAAATCTTAGCTTTTTACTTCCACCTACACTGTAAGTAAAATAAAGGTTTTAGCCGCAGGGATATCTCCTAGCAACGCTGAGTGCTCTGTTATTTCCTAGGTGTCAGAGCTAGAGTGTGTGATTTGTTTGCAAAGTGTACGTGCCGCAAATAGACTGCGCGCAGTTTGGAACAAGTGATGGAAGGTTGACGATGTGCTTCTCTTCTCTCCCACGCTGTAGGGTTTTCTTCGTTTTTTTTTTTTTCTGCTGAGGCACTACAGTGGGTACAAGGAACTGACATGACATGCGGAGAATTGCAGTTCCACAACAGTTGTAAGGCAAGTTGATTGTGTCCAGACCCAGTTGGTGAATGGTCTTGTCAGGAACAGGACACCAACTTCATGATTCTTTTTTTGGGGTCTCTAGACTTTTCTCCTCAGTGGTGACCATCAGACCTGCTTGAGAAATGCTGAGGACTTCTATATATTGGGGACCATGTGGGCTGCCTCCCCATAACGCAACGCTGTTTATTTTAAAGTGGTATTTAAAGCGGAGTTCCACTCACATTGTCAAAAAATAAGTCAACAGCTACAAATACTGTAGCTGCTGACTTCTAAAAAAAACTGCCAATTGCCTGTCCCTCGGTCCCGCGTTGTGTCACCCGCAGCCCGTTTCACCAGCTGTCCTGTATTCCAGGAGGCTGGCATCTTCAGTGTGGGCACACGGCTATGATAGCTTGCGGCTTCACAGCCGGGTACCCACTGCGCATGCGCAAGTAGCATTGAGCTTCATGAATGGTCCTGTA